CCTTCTCCTCTCATCCCCTACCGGGCTGGCAAACCATGGCTCTGTCAGAACTCCAGGACGAGGCCCTGCCATGTTTAGCCAGCACAGTTTGTTTCTGGGGCAGCTGTCACAGTGACCCTGACTTCAAGGTTTTTGGCATGTGAAAGTCATTCCAGGGTTGTCAATGGGAAAAGCCAGTTAGGCCACAGAAGGCAAGTTTCTTAAAGACTGAGATGGTGTGGTCCTGTCAAGCACCTATGACACTCACGGACAAAGGACCAGGAATAGATTCAAACACTTCAAATACCAGAGATCCCATCAACTTGCTAATTTCCTGAAAAATGAGCAGGCCTAGCTGTGCAGCCCTGGGGGCAGGGCGCTCGCTCGCCTGTCCTGCACAGGGCCGCCGCGTTCCCCTCAGCACGGGATAAACTGTCATCCTGGCACTTGTTCCCGCCAGCCTTGTCTCCATATGGAGACCCTGTCTCAAAAAGCCAAAATACAAAACCAAAGCTACAAAACAAGTATCAAGCCCTCTTATCTCTGGGATAGGATCAAAGCTTAAGGGGGCTGGCTGCCATACCTTGTCTTGCTTAGTGGCTTTCTGCTGGTCAGTCCCCGGGATCCAAGGGTCTCTGCTTCCCAAGGGCTGGGATCTGGGCATGCACTACCATGCCTGGCTTTTACATGGGGGCTGGGGATCTGAGCTTGGATCCTCACGCCATCCCTTCACCCACTGAGCCATCTCCGCAGCCCCAAGAGGAAGCTTGAGGGTTTGTGTTGGAGGAAGGATAAGAGCTCTTTTTACTAAAACCAGAAAATACATTCCAACATACGCTGGTCTAACCAGATGAAGCAACGGAACCACCTGAAGCAGTTGAGCCCAGACTCCCGGATAGCTGCATCTCTGCAGAGTCGAGGCTGAAGGACAACTCCTTTGTCACCCTGTCTCTGAGGAACACGGTATCTAGGTAACATCTAAATACACTCTCCTGCCCAGAGAAAAAACCCTCCCAGGGAATTACCAGGCTCCTAGCCACAGGCAAAAGTGTCCTACGGTGGGCAGGAAATTTGAGGTACTATGACAGTCTTGACTCAGAGACACAGCAGAAGGGACAGTGAAAGAAAAGGAGATTTAGCTCATACCCACACCCAGAAATTCATGCAAGTTTATACGACACACCCCCTGGGCCATCACACACAACCCAGAGTCTAGACAAATGCATTCTGGGAGACAGTTCTCGGCGTTCTAGAAACAGTACGGCTGGCTGCTAGGAATAGGAAGGTGAGCTGAGTCAAATACAATCAGGCCACTTAATCATTTGTGGAAACTGTGGGGAGAGACATCTGTGTTGAGTCAAAGACACTCAGAAGTTAGCAATGGAAAGTGGGTGTGGCCATACATCTCTGAAACGTCAGCATTTGGGAGGTTGGGGCAGGAGGGTAGCAAGCTTAGACTATGTAGGGAAACCAGTTTCCAAAAACAAAGCAAAGAGAGCAATGGGGAATTCAGTGAGAAAAGCTGACTTCACATCTCCACATAGCCTGCAGTGGACAGCAGGTTTCAGGTCACCTTCAGAGCAAAAGGACTTAAAACAGTCAGTGTTTAGACATCGGTGTTTGCGCTTTGATGTCTGTGGCTCCCACATTCCTGGGCAGGGCAGCTATAGTACTTTCAGAAAAAAAAAAAAAAAAAAAAGATGCTTCCTGTAGGGAGAGATAAATCAGTGGAAATATGGAGGTAGCAATTCAACTTGGCAGTAAGGCCAAACAGCCTAAGCTGGGGGTGCGGAGCTGGCTCCGTCAGTGAAGTGTCTGATGCCTAACGTGAGAGTGTGCACTCTCAGCACTAGAGACAACAAACAAATAACACTAACAACAACCGCCACAGGCGCAGTGGCAGTCACCTGTATCCTCAGTGCTGGGCAGGGTGGAGACAGGCAGAGCCAGGGCCTTGCTGGAAGGCAGCGGAGGCAAGCTCCAGGTTCAGTGGAAATAAAAACCCACCAGGATCAAGAAAGAAGCAGACAATAAAACACTGAGTCACGGACCGGAGAGATGGCTCAGAAGTTAAGAGCCGTTTCCGTTTGCAGAGGATCCGAGTTCATCAGCATCTATGCTGCCTGTAACTCCAGCTCCAGGGGATCTGACACCCTCCCCTGGTCTCTGTAGGCTCTGTACACACGTGGAACACAAACATACATTCAGGTAAATGTCCATACGCATAAAATAACATAAAGATATATTGGCAAAACAAGAAAAAAATGACAATTCTTTTAATAATAAAAAGACATGTTAAAATCAACCTTAGACTTTCATTTTCCTTCTCTCCCCTTTCTTTTTGTTTTCAGTCAAGGTTTCCTGTAGCCCTAGCTGGCCCTGAACCTGCAGCAATCCTGACACCACCTCCCAAGTGCTAGGATTTTAGGCCTATGCCGCCACAATCTTAGTGGAAAAAAACCTGAAGCACTCTCCATAATCAAGAAGAAGATAAACCCACAATGACTATTGCTCTCTGAACAAGGAGGTCACAGACTGCAGAGGAAGATAAGAAAAATAAACAAAAGGCACAAAGATGGGGGAAGTGGAATAAGACAGACTGCCAGTACTGGCTGCGGACGGAAAGCTATGTTTTGGGTCACCATGGGAGGCTCTGGGCTCTGGTACTGACATGTAACCATGTCCCAGACATCTGTGAATTAAGGTCTCAGAAACAGGGCTGATGAGGTTAGAGAGACGCTCAGTGGCTAAGAGCCCTGGCTGCTCTCACAGAGGACCAAGATTCAATTCCCAGCACCTACATGGTAGCTCTCAACCGCCTGTAACTCCAGTTCCAGGGAAATGGATGCCTTCTTTTGACCTCCACCAGGCACACAGACCCATATGTGAGCAAAACATTCACACACATAAATTATAAGCATGTACATTTGTGCCACATATGGACACACACATGACTCATAAACTGAGTTGACTACATTTTTTTTATCCAGTGAGGTTTATTGGATGGAGAGAGAGTTAGAAGGAGAGAGAGACAGAGAGACAGAGAGACAGACAGACATAGTGGGGGGAGAGGTACCCCTATAGAGAGAGGGGGGAGCAAGAGAGTAAGAGAGTAAGGAAGTTGACTACATTTAATCTAGAGTTTTCAAACAGACTTCAGTCAGCTTAGTTTTAATTATTGCTTAGGATTAGCTTCTGTCTATATCCATACACATTGATCTCTCTGTGTAGACCAGGCTGGCCTGGAACTCACAGAGATCCACCTAAAGGCATTTGCCACCCACCTTGTTTTTATTTATTTAAAAAAATCTTTTTATCTTTCATTTTTTTAACCAGAAATATATTTATTTTCTTTTTAATTGTGTGTGAGTCTATTTGGCAATGGATGAAGATGCCCACAGAGGCCAGAGGAATGGGAGCTGCCGGAGCTGGAGTTACCAGAGGTGGGTGCTGGGAACTGAACTTGGGTCCTCTGCAGGAGCACTATGCCCTATTATCCACTGAGTCACCTCTCCAGTTCCATGTATTTTTTTTTTAAGATTTACCTATTTCTACTTTATGTCTGTGCATCGCACGCATGCAGTGCTTACAGAGGCCAGAAGAGGGCGCCGGATCTCCTGGAACTAGGATTACAAAGGATGGCACCTACCATGTGGGTGCTGAGACTCCTACCCTGGCCTCCTGGGAGAGTAGGCAGTGCTCTCAACCACTGGGCCATCTCTCCAGCCCATATTTTTTTTTTTTTTTTTTTTTGTACACAGGGTTTCTCTGTGTAGCTTTGGCTGTCCTGGACTTGCTTTGTGGACTAGGCTGGCCTTGAACTCACAGCAATTGGCCCTCCTCTGCCTTCCCAAGCGCTGGGATCACAGGCATGTGCCACCACCCCGTATTTTTCAATTTTTCAAGAGAGTCTCATATATTCTACAGTGACATCAAGCCCACTGTGCAGCCAAGGATGACCTTGATCTCCTGCCTCTACTCAGAAGTGCTGGAATTAACAGTCTTGAAAGCAGCCCTCTCAACTAGGTAACATTTTTAAGGTCTGAGGAGGGCCTGTCTGCCGTAAAAGTTGATGATTTCTAGGCCCACATGGTGGAGCCCCCTCAGTGCCCATGGCACATGAGTGCTACTGACACCCACACATAAATAAAAGACTGTAACTTAAAAAAAAATTTAAGCAACACTTTAAAAACGGCTAGTTAAAAATTTATGGTAAGCCCGGTCGCTTAAAAAAATGTATGTCTTATGGTAACATAAAAGCCTGCCCTCGTGATGTTAAGAATGTGCATTTCAGTATATTAAGTAATTTTTAAAAATACATAACCATATACCCCCCCTTCTAGCTGCAACATTCCCTCACTCAAGGCATTTCAAACTCCTCTGGCAGAACCGAAAGGCACCATGAAAAAGCAGAGCTTTTCCAAAGAAAAGCGCAGACTGTGGTGCCCCAATGGCCCTGGGCACCGTGAATGAATGCCGCTATTTAATGGTATAATTGTGTTTATATTATCTTGATGACTTTCATAAAAAGAAAATGGGGCTTCTAGGGAAAAAACACACACTGGCCTGGGAGGACAAGGCACACTTTATGTCTGAACCACCAGAGAGGAGCGCTCCCGCAGACTTCCAAATGCCCCTCTCACCCCAGCCTCCTGGGGATCAGCCTGAATGAACCATGACGCAGCTGGGCAGAGGGTTAGGCCTTTCTGGAAGCCTGGGGCTGCCGGGCTCTCCCCCATGGGCTGAGATGGCTGCTTCAGCTTCCGAGACATGGCCTTTGACAAGCCACTAAGGAAAAGCGTGGCCTTCTGAGCCACTCCTGGTGACTAGGCACATCACCTCAACCCTGGTTTTTCCCCCAGTGTAGACTCCTGGTCGCCATGGTTATGACACAAAACGAAACCGTTGTTCCACCCATCAAGTACCTTCCTGTGGTTATGTCAGAAAGGGGAAGCTGAGGCCCGGCCTCCCAGTGGCGGCCTAGGAAACACGCTCCAGGGAAGTGAGACGGGTCCCCTCACCTTCTCCACGTCGGCCTTGGTCACATTGATGTCAGCATCCATCTTCTCGAAGTACTGCTGGGCACGATCGGCCTCCTTGCAGTCCCGCTCAAACCGCCTCTTACTCTGCGGACAGAGCACAGCCACACCTGCTGGTCACCCACCCACCCTGCCACCCCGAGGACATTCTCCCCAGACCATCCATTATGCCTCATCATCTCCAGAAGTGACTTCAGCATTTGTCCCCCTTACAGCCATCCCCGTCTGTTCTCTGCCTAGGATTTTTCTGCCTCTACCGAAGCACGTTTCAGTGAGTATGTGTACCTGCTGTGTGCACGTGTGAGTGCCTATCTATGAAGAGGTCAACATCGGGTGCCTTCCTCAATCACTCTCCACACCATTTGCAAATGTTAAAGATTTATGTTATTTTGATGGTGTGTGGTTGTGTGTGTATCAGTGCAGGGTCGGCACCTGCAGAGCCAGAGCTATTGGATCCACAGGAGTGGAATTACAGGTGGCTGTGAGACACCCAATGGGTGCTGGGAACCACCCCAGGCCCTCTGCAAGAGTGTCGATGTTTGTGACTGTTGAGCCATTATCTCTCCAGCCCACCCACCCTGCTTTCTGAGACAGCTTCTCACTAAGCCTGGAGCTTGCTGAGATGCTGTGCTGCCTGGCTGGTCAGAGAGCCCCTGAGCCCCTCCTGTCTCTACCTCCCTAATGCTGGGATTATAGGCATGTGCCATTGCACCCAGCTTTTTAAGTAGTGCTGGGGATCCGAACTCAGGGCCTCATGCTCCCACGGCACATGCTTTACCCACTGAGGTATCTCTCCAGCCCTCCTCCAGCATTTCTAGCACAGCACTTTGCTGGCCATAGGAGTAAACTAAGTGAAATACAAATGAGAAAAATCTAGAAAGAAGACTCCTTAGTGGTCTATGCTTGGTGTTTTTCCTAGTGAGCCATTCCAGGTGAGCTGGTCTGGGGGGACAGTGGTCTAGCTGCCGGCTTCCTGCTTACCGACTCCAGCTGCTTCCAGCAGGTCTCTATGTGCTGCTGAGCCTTCCGTCCATCATGGAAGTTCTGTGAAGCAGAAAACAGAGCAGGGGTCAGCACCGACCCTCCTCCTGCGAAAACCTCCCATCTGCTTAAACAGCTTTAAAGATGTATGTTTCTTTTTATATGTGTGCCTGTTTTCCCTGAGTGTGTGTGTGTGTGCGCGCGCGCGTGTATGCGCACCATGTTTGTGTAGTGCCCACAGAGGCCAGGAGAGGGCATCAGATTCCCTGGGGCTAGAGTTGCAGATGCTTGTGAGCCACCGTGCGGGTGCTGGGAACTAAATCATCCGAAAGGGCAACAACTTCTTTTAACTGCTGAGCCATCTCTCCAGCCCCTTAAGTAGCCAATAGATACGGTCTGGGCTGGAGGTGTGAGTCAGTGGGAGTGTGTCTGCCTAGTATGTGTGAGGCCCTGCAAAGCAAACAAACACTGACCACCTAGTCTGCACAGTCCCAAGAAATCAAAGGGCTCATGCCTGTAATCCAGGACCAGTGTGGCTGATGCAGAAGGATTTCCATGAGTTCAAGCCAGACTAGAGTGAGACCCTGATCTCAAAAAAAAAAAAAAAAAAAAAAAAAAAAAAAAACAACCAAAGTTTAAACAATAAACAAGTTAAGGGGAAATGGAAACAAGAGTGGCTGCAGAGTTCCTTTTTAAGTTGTAGACACAGCAATATCGAATGTGAAATTGTATGCGGCTTGCAAAAACAGGAATGTCTTACTGAGACAGGCATCACACCGGCAGAGGTGGCACACACCTCTAATACCAGCACTTGAAAGGCAGAGGCAGGTGGGTGTTTGAGGCCAGTCAAGGCTGCATAATGAGACCCGGTCTTAAAGGAAAAACTTAACACCAATCACTGGGGTCATCCTCTGAGCATTGGTGAATTCACATATTATATTTTTCACCTCCCACAAATGAAAAATTGTACTTCTTAGCTGTCTCCCCCAGCCTCTCCTGAGTTGGGAAACCACCCCTGTACCTCTGTGAATCTGTCTGTGTTGGCTATGTCACATAGTGGAACCCCATAGACTGAGGACTTTTGTGATTGGCAGGATGACAATATTTCTTCCTATTCACATGCAAGGATACTCTCAAGGTTCTTCCTGTTGTAGTATGTATCTGTTCACCAATCCTTTCTTCTGGTTGCATAATATTCCACTAAACAGAGGCACCACATTGAAGTAGCCACTCGCCGGTTGGTAGACATTTGCTCTGTTCCTAGTTTAGGGAGACTATGGATGTTGGTGCTACAAACGCTGCTGTGAGCTTTGTGTAAACAGACGTTGTATCTTAGAAGCTTCAAAAACATTTCATTATTATTGTGTTTAGGTAGGCATGTGAAATGTGTGGTTGTGGAGGACACAGCACACAGGGAGGACAGAGGATGACTTGTCGGAATTGGTTGTCTCTTTCCAATGTGTGGATTCCTGGGGACTGAACTTTATCAGCTGAGCCACCTCACCAGCCAGAGAATCTTTGAAACCAGAAAGGCCTTGTGGTGGGCATGTGACTAGTATTAACTTCCAGAGACCACAGAAAGCGGGATCAGGCAAGCTGCTAGGAGAAGGGGAGGAGAGGGGCTTAGAGAGGGACACTGGCGGCTCAGGGTCTGAGGGAACAGAAGACTGTGGATGGGTCTGAACCTGGATGATGTGAAGGGAGGACACCAGAATGAAAGCTGTTGCCTGGTGACAATGCAGGGAGGAGAACTTTGACCCCCGCTCTACAACACAAGCACTCTAACGCTGGCCCCACCACCAGCCACCATGTTTGTCTTTGATTAGTCAAGCCACTGGGAGGTCAGGATCAGATGTGATCCTGGGTCTTTGAGATAGCTCAGTGGATAAAAGTGCTCACTTCCAAGAATGATAGCCAGAGTTCAGTTTGGGGTCCCACATAGTGGAAGGAGAGAACCAATTTCCAAAGCTGTCCTCTGACCTCCATTAATGTGCTGTTCGAGTGTGCACACATGTCCCGGGTCCGGGATCCTGAGAGCTTAGCAGGGTCCCTCCCACAAGGCAGAAGGAGAAACCAAATCCACAAAGCTGTCCTCCAACCTCCAACAGCACAACAAGACACACATGCCCAACAAATAAAAACTTTCCTGAAGTCCAGAGTTTCAGAAGAAGGAAAGAAGGGAAGCCACAGTGTGAGGAGGGTAAATAGATGGACAGTTTTAAGGCTAATATTTCTAGAAGGTTCCAGAGTCTGGTCCAATGTGGCCTGGGGCCTGAGAGCTGGGAAGGTTTAGCATGGAACCTCCACTAGAGAGGACTTGTCGTAAGGTGGGTAGTCAAAGCCGGGTGACTGCCAAGGATGAACGCTCTGGAAAAGAAAATGATACGGCTAGAGAGAGGAAATGACGTCTCTCTCACTTAGCATCCAAAAATCACCAGTTCCCTTTAACATACTTCCACCAGACACCAATGGGATCAGTGGACCTTGTCTGCATGGCCAGAGGCCACAGGGCCTGTGCTGGGTAAAGGGCTCTGCCCTCTGGGTCTGCTTAGATTTGCTGCCTGAAGCTGCCCAGTCAGCGAGGCTTCTTGTTTGGCTGAGTCTCTGGACCAAGGTCACAGTAAACTCTGAGCTCCTACAGGGTTCACCCTTGACTCTGGAGACAAGGGGCAGCAGCAGCTCCCCAGCGGCTGTCCTGGTAAATGCCCTTCTGTGCATCTGTGCATGTGTCCTGTGTAAGCCAGGGGTCAAGTGTCTTCCTCTACCATTTCCCGCCTCATTTCTCGAGAAAGAGTCTCTCGTTGGACCGGGAGCTTACTGGTTCTGCTAGACTGGCTGGCTGCTGACCTCCTGGGGTCTGCCCACTTCTGCTTTCCATTGCTGGATCACAGGTGTGCACCACCACACTGGGGTTTTACGTGGTGCTAGGAATTCAGACTCAGGTGCTCATGTTTATATAGCAAATAGTTAACCCACTGAGCCATCTCCTCCACCCCTAAATGTTCCTTTTAATAAACCTTCCCTCGTTAGCCAGCCTGACGGCCCGCTTGCTTCCTGACTGACGAGGTAAAGCTGGGTAGCAGGGGGACTAACAGAAAGTACCAGGTCCCTTAGGTCCTCTTCTGGGATTCTGCCAAAAAACCCCCTTTTCTTACGCCTACAACACATCAGAATCTGGGGACAACCAAGTGCCAGAGAAGATTGGAGGAGGGGCAAGACCAGCCTTTTGCCAGAACAGTGAACCGTTATAAGGGGATGCATTCTTGTCTATCCAGAGGGCAAGTGCCACCGTTCTGAGCTCTTCTGCAGCTCAGTTCTGACCATCCTGCAATTTTTTTTTTTTAAGATTAAAGTTTTTTTTTTTTTTTTTTTAATCTTAATCATATGTGTCTGAGTATTTTGTATATCACGTGCATGCTTGGTATGGAGGGGGTCTGAGGAATAAGCCCCGAGACCGGAGTTATAGACGGTTGCAATCTTTCCAAAACCAGGACCTCTGCAGATGCTCTCACCTGGGAAACCATCACTCCAGGCCCCACCCGTCCTTCAGGTTTTGCTCTCTACAGACTCAAAGGTCATGTCCCTTGGGCCTTCACTTTTTAATCTCATAATGGACATACAGAGTGTGAGAGAGGGGAGATGACAAAGCCTAAGGCTTAGAGTGAAGGCGCCAGGGGCAAGGCAGAGGAAGAACCAGGCAGCTTGCTGATTGCAGGGTGTAGAAAGCCCTGCTGGGGAGGACAGACAGGAAGTTATGCACAGCTCTGTAAAAAGGAAGGAGTGGAGGCCAGAAGGAAGGGGGAAGGGTATCCTCAGGGGAAGAGAGAGGCAGTCAGGAAGAAAATAAAAGTCCATTTCAAACCTAGCCCTGTTGAAGAGGCACCTTGGGCTCCCAAAGTTCCCCACCTGGGGCCTTCTCCCTAGAGAGGATGGCTGCCCCCGCTTCTCATGTTTTGCTGAAAGGTCCCAGTGACTTCAAGATTCAAAGATGGAGCCAAGAGGGGGTATAGGAATGTAACCCCTAACTCCCTAGGCTGAGGCAGGAAGATGATGGAGGTCAAGGCCTACCCAGGCAACTTAGTACAACCTGTCTCAAGATAAAAAGTAAAAAGAGGGCCGGAGATTAAGTGTAGTGGTAAAGTGCTTGGTTAATTGGGCTCAGCTCACAGCAGCACCCCAACACATACACACCCAAAGAAGAATAAAATGAACATACAGATATGAAAAATGAAAAGCTGAGACTGCAGAGATGGCTCAGTTCAGTTCCTAGCACTCATGGCAGGTGGCTCACAACTTCCCAAACTCCAGCTTCAGAGGATCCAACACCTTCTTCTGGGCCCCATGCGCACAGGCACACACAATTTAAAAATAATAAAAATAGCCAGCTGTGGTGGCTTTAATTTAATCCTAGGGCTAGGGAGGCAGAAGCAGATGGATCTCTGTGCATTTCATGCCAGCCTGGGCTTCATAGTGAGACTCTGTCTTAAAAAAGAAATAAGTCTTTAAAAGAAAAACCAAAAAACAGCTCATGGGCTGGAGAGATGGCTCAGCACTGGCTACTCTCCCACAGGACCAGGGTTCAATTTCCAGCACCCACATGGCAGCTCACAACTGTCTGTAACTCGGTCTGACACCCTCATACCAATGCACATAGAATAAAATTAAATATGAATTATTTTAAAAGAATTCACATTTTGGGTAATTCTATCTAAAAACCCAGAGGACGTTCTCTGGCTGTCTTTTATGTAAGTGTATGAGAAGCACACACATTTGCTGTGTACCTTACATGGCTGGGAGCTGGTGGCTGTCTCCCAAGAAGGCACCTCAACCCCTCTCCCCCCGTAATTAACCAGGCACCCAGACTGCGGTGCCTGGTGATGTTCCTTCCAGTCTTTCTTCTGCAGGGTGGCCCTCCACAACCAAGGAGACCTGCGCCCTCCTCATGGCTCTGCACATGACTGACCTTGGCAGAGGTCACCAGCTCCAGCTGGCTCCTTGGAGGGAAAACAGTGGTTTGAACAGTTAGAAAACTTAAACAAATAAGCAGATTTGCCAAATGCATT